TGGATCCGTTTCACCAGTGTCTTTGTGTCCTTCACAGTATTTCCCACAATTATTTTCAACATACAACCGTGCTTTTTAGCCAGTAGCTTCTTACAATGCCCTGCTACAGCATGTGGACACCTAAACACACATGAAATATATGAATGCCACTGCATTACATACAGAATATCAAATCAGGTGGTTTTTATTATATATGAAACATGAAATGGCATTCGCAACCCAATGTGATGTATTTCCGAATGAAACTGGATATTCAACTAGAAAGTCAAATCTGGACTGGATTTTATTTGCTTTGGATTGTGATTTGACTGGATTATTGATCAAAGATTTCAAACATTCCTTTGGAATAACATGCAGCCAGAGCTGGGTAACTGATTATATGTAATCCGGATTATGTAATCAGATTCCAAAAATAAAGTACTTGTAATTAGATTATATTACATTTTAAAATATTCATAATCAGATTCAGTTACTTTTTTATTGATTACATGATTGCATATTATTCACATAATATTAATAAATTATTCATAATTGATTGACTTTTGATTTATTGATTCATTATTCATGGAAGGTTTTTGTCCTTCAAACACATTAAAATGCACAAATTCATGTCATTTCGTCGTTACATGTAATGCAGGGATTCCTAAACTTTTTTTTTGGTCAGTTGAACCTGTATTTACTATACTTGAAGTATTGAAATTTTAAGGTAATACAATAATAATTAAGTAACACATTTGCATGTTCACGGTTCTCTGAGGTTGGTTAATGGTCACATGACATGCAGGTAAACAAATAAAATATTTCATCTTTTTTAGTAAGTGCTTTATTTTGATTGCTGTTATTTTCAAATTATTTATTTTATTTTTACATTTTTTATGATTTAGTTATTAGCTTTTCATTAAACTCACAAACCCCCTGAAGTTCCTTCACAAACCCTAGTTTGGGAAACCTTAACGTAATGCAATTTAATGTTGAATGCACTTCATGTTCTTAATATAAAAAACAAATGGAATAGGCTATATTGTCTTTCTCTTTGTATTTTTATATCAATATTTTCCTATTTATATATCTATGTGATACATTAGGTCAAAAGCAATCTAAAAGTAATCAAAAAAGTAGATTATATATAAAAAAATTGAATTACATTAAATTATTGTCTTGTAATTTGGAATCAGTCACGGATTACATTTTGTAAGTAATCTACCCAGCACTGTGTGCAACATTAAATTATTTGCAATGAGCCCAAGAATGTGTATTATAAAAGAAAATAGGCTAGTTTTTGAGTTTACGAAACTTTCTAAATTTCACAAAAAAATATGCATGTTGGGTTTCTAGCTCACAAAACGGCATTAATAATTTAATAATCGCGACACAATGCTGACAGCAAATGCATTCTTCCATTCCAGAGCATGATTGCTGATGGTGTAGCATTTTCAAATGTCAATAGGATTTATTAGACAGGAGAGGGTTTATGTATCAAGACTTTCAACATCTTTTTAGCATTCTCGCTTCTGAGTGTTCCAGAAACATCACTGAGCTGTTGCAGATCAAAGACTTTATGATTCTGAATTATTAATTCAACCCAGGGCTGGACTGGGACAAAAAAAATCAGCCCTTGCATTTTTTGGTCCAAATGGCTCACCACTATGATCAGACAGCACCCATACATATACACTGTCCTTCAAAATACACACACACACACATTTGGACCCCATAATGTAGGGAATACCAGGTACACACTAACACTGTGTGTGTATATCTAATGTGTATACCAGTTTAAGTGGACCAGTGTCTTATGGAACAGCTGCAATATAGCGTTTCCTTGGTTACCGCTGTAAACAAAGCACATGTGCATTAAAATGAATTATACAGAGGAAAGATGAAAAGAAAATGCCATCGAAACTTTTCTGAAGACAGTCAGTTCCCTTCAGAGATAGATTCTTGCTTAAAATTTTCTTCCAGTATTTCGAGCATCGTGAACAGTGAGCTTGCTCTGTATCGTCTCTGCTGACGCGTCTGTTCTCTCCTTTGCGTCGGTCTTTATCGTGTCCTGTCTCTGGCCTCTGTTAATGTCCTGTTTACAGACTTTGTAATATTTCCTCATATTTCCAGGGGTGAAGCAATATTTATGTAGGCGGAGCAAGATACCTCATCATTCAGTCTATGGCGCACTACGATTGGGTTTATGCTGTCAATACTGAAGACAAACCAATGCGCCGCTGTCCCTGCATGACGGGCCAAAGTATCGGGGCCAAAGTACCGGCCCCAAAGTGCATCGACCCAACGGGAAAACGCCCTATATGCCATATGGCCAGGACCTTTCTGTATTCTCAGAAGTGGGACGAAAACTGATGTACAGTGCAGGTGGTACGAAGTTGATGATGCTGAGTTTAATTTATATAGCGCTTTTCCCAACCTCAAATCGCTTTACAATCAACATTAAACATAAATACATATAACAAGACAAATCTATAAACAATACAGTATACACAACAATCAAAACAAAAAGTCACGAAAAGCTGGAGTCACGAAAGCAGTCCATTGTATAATATATTAGTCTTATATACTAGTCCTATATATTATAGGACTAATATTGCAGTCCTATAATATAATATATTTGCAGACATGTCTTGATATGTTACCTTCACAAACAAGATTCTCACTCACGTGAACGAGCACCGATTTGCCTCCGAATTTCGGCCTTTGTCGGCTGTATCTCTGTTAAATGTGGCGAGTGGATAATCGTAGTTTAAAAGTAACATTACGCCAGTTCGTTCAACAACAGATTTACGAAGCACTGCTGCTGTTGTGCGTTGTTTGGAGATTTTGGTTAATTCTTTGGCTTCGTTTGTAACTAGTTTGACTGGCAGACCAAAAAAAATCTAAAGTAACTGGCATATTGTGTCTACAATGCACGTCACTGAATATCAACTTTAAAGCCCTGTTCACACCAAGGACGATAACTATAAAGATAACGATAAAGATATAGTTTTTAAAATCGTTCTCAATATTAAAGAATAGCAGAGTCCACACCACAGCTATAACGATAAAGGCACAGAGAAACAATATCGTTGGAATCACTTTCAGAACGATTTTTTTCCAGCTGATGAACAATAAAAGCATTGACAGCCAATCAGAATCAATCCTGCTGTCACGAGCTCGAGAATTTAAAGCGGCAGACGAGTGTGC